GGTGCTCTTTCTGCTTTCGACTTACAGCTCTGCCTTGACATGGATTCCTCCTGGTGTCCGGAGAAGCAGGGCAGGTGTCACTGGAATTGCTGTTTTCTGGCTCTTTTCAGTTCTGCATGTATTTGTAAATAGCCAGTCCTTTGAAGGATGCTGTGCTTTTCCAAGCAAGATGAGTATCTCAATTCTTTTCTTCCTGAGGGTCTCTATTTGAGGAAATCACATCATCCAGGGAGGGTCGGGAGCTAGAGGATCGTTCTAGAAAATAGCATTTGTGATCAGCTTTGTTGAGTAAGTTTGATTTCACCAGGCCCAGAATAAAGAAAGTCGCCATGGACTTGACTGTCTTACAGTTATTTGTATTTGTTGCAGCATCTCATGATTAGTTATACTTAGTGTGAATTAATGTTTAACTATTACTGTAGTACCATAACACAGTGAGCTTGAGCTTAACGTGTTGAAATGCCTCCATAGGTGAAAGAGGTAGCAAGGGGGAGGGCTGGATACTGGTCTACCGAGTGTGGCCAGCGGGACTTGTTCCCTCCAGAATCGCATTTGCCCTGAGCTACACTAAGGAGTAGGCTACTATCATGTGATACAGGTCTCCAGAGCAAAGAAGGTGACCTGTAACTGAGAGACGCGATTTCAGTTGTATCTTTTGCTGTTAGTTTTGCCGATTGATCATGCTAGTCACAAAAGCACTTTTGGAAAGACAAGCACAGCTTGTTGAGTTGGGATTTGGTTTTCCATACGGCCCCCTCCAGGACAAGTGTTCCCACCACTTGCCATTCTGCTCCTGTAGGTCACTTTGTCCACATGACTTTATGATGCCTTCCCGAAATCCAGCCTGTTTGTGCCAAGGGAGCGGGGGCATTTTCAGCATCTTCTTACAATGCTATAAAATAAATTGCTGAAGAGAAAACTTTAAATAACACCCCAACAACTTTAACAGAAAAGAGTTGAGTGATACTTGGTAAGTTAACCAGCTGAGATCTTGTAAAACGTTTATTGCAAGCTTGTCCTGGTTGGTCTGGAAAGGGCATGGTAAACCCAGGATGGACAGAACTTATTATCTCTGCACCTTTGTGAATAGCTATCTAGACTTCCCAGGGCACGGAGTATAGCTGGTACCCTTCTGTACACAGGCCAGTGTGAGTTCAGGTAGGAATTCCACTTCGTTATCTTTCCTCCAAAGGAAAATTTTCCAAAACAAAAACTTTAAAAAAAAAAGAAGATACATTGATTTGGAAAAACTCAAAATAGCTCATAATGCATGATGACACTTGAGTCAAGGATGAGTTGCATCTATGACAGTGGTCCCATCAGATGATAGTAACATGTTTTTGCTATAACTTTTCTCTGTTTAAATACGTTTAGATGCACAAGTACCATTGTGTTACAGTTGCCTACAGTATGCACTACAGTAACATGCTGTACAGTGTATAGCCTAGGAGCAATTGGTTCTACCATGCAGCCTAGCCTAAACCTTTATAAAAATACAACAGTTCTGATTTCTAATCTTTAAAGATCTGGAATTTCCTCTAAAATTGAAGAGCTTCTAGAATGCTAAATATGTAAAACTCTGTATGTGAGGAAGACCAGACCTCAGGGCAACAGTAACTTTTGCAGAACATGTTATGTCAAGACTTTAATGTTATGTCTTCTCTTGCATCAGAACATTGAATAACTGCAGTCACGTGTTGCTCGATGAAGGGGACATGTTCTGGGAAATGCATCCTTAGATGACTTCACTGTGGTGTGAACACCGCAGAGGGACTCGCACCACCAAGATGGTCTAGGTGACTAGATATCGGAACCATTGTCGTTTTATAAAGTTTTATTTGGAAAAAACTTTAAAATAAGAAGAGCAATTATCTCTTTACTTTTTAAATGTTTCGGTTGCATAAAGTTAGAATTCTGCTTGCTTAATCTGTTCCCCTAAGGAAACCATTGACACTATTTTGGTATATAGTCCATCCATTTTTAATTATATATACATTTATAAATACGTTTTTCACAATTACTTGAACCTCTTTAGTTTTCATTTGTTTTTCGTTTGTGTGAGAAGGTATCCCAGAATCTCTAAACTTTTAAAAACATTATTCAAAAGAGAAAAAATTAACTTAAATTGAAAGAGAAGAATTACAGGGAAACTGAAGAGCTGTCAGTTCTGAATCTTAATGTATAAAAGTGATTGTACCCTTTTTATTGCTTAGGTCTGTGTATTGCCACACGGTGTATTATAGCCACATGGTGGTTTACAGCTGTCACACATTTAGTTTTGTGCTGTCAGTGTGGTAGCCACGAGCCACGTGTGGCTGTTCAGCACCTGAAGCGTGGCTAGTCCACAATGGATGTGTTGTAAGCCTAAAAGAGACTGGATTTCAGACTTTGTACAAAAGAAAGAATGTGAAGTGTCTCATTAATAATTTTAAATATTTATTACATTAAAACAAGAATTTGAATATACTAAATTAAATAAAATGTTACATATACTTTCACTTACTTCTTTTCCTTTTTAAAATTTGGCTTGTAGACAATTTTAAATGACAGTTGAAGTCGGCATGGTTACCCACATTTTGTTTCTGTTGGACGGTATTGGCCTAGACTGACTATGTCTCTGCAGATTTATGTTTTGGAAACAGCACCATCTTTTCAAAAGAAATCCCTATTACATAACTGTTCACTATAACCTCTGATTCTGTTTCCTTAACATTTCAAATGCTATTTCTCAACATCATCCTTGGACTTTTTGTTTCCAGCACCGGGCACTTTTAAGGACCTCTCCCTTTGATACCAGTAATCTCCTGGGCATTCAGACAGGCCTCAGTGAAAGCAACACTTGAGCCTCATTCACATGTTCAAGTTAGATCATTATTCCTAATAATGGCTGTTAAGTGCTAAGATGGATCAGCACTTTGTGTCTTGAATTGCTTGTCATTTCTTTATAAGGATGTTTCAAGAAATTGCTCTGTTCAATCCTGTCTTTCATTATTTTCTAGCAAAAAGTAACATAATCCTTTATTAGTTTATTGGAAGTCAGAAGGGAAAAAAAGGCTTTTATACTGTATCAACGAAAACAAAGTATATTTCCAGGTACTAAGAATAAAGAGCAAAATTAGTCATGAGTGATAGTCCTGTGAAAGTTATTTTTTTAAAAGATATCCTGAGTGCCCTGTCAATCTGACAGTGACTTTAACCTCTGTTTTATTTTCCCATTATACTTGAGTTCAGGTTGTCATCAGCCACCATGAGGAAACCTACGTAGTTCTTAGAGAGAGAAAAGTTGCACTGTTAGACTTAATAGTATGGTCGTCATGGAAGCATCAGTTATCTTCATCAAGGCAATTCAGATCTGATTATTGTAGAACTGTGTTGAATACCAAACCAGAGGAGAAGTAGCTAGAGCTAAATCAAGGGATTGTCATTTTTGTCAGATGATTAGGGCTGGCTTGGAAGAGATATGAAAGGGTTGAGCTGTGTAAATACTCTCTTTTCAGTAGAAAAAGAAAAAGGTCCATCATGGCCATTAAGATGCAGCTTGTTAGCTTGATGAATTTCAAACTATTTAACCTTAGCAATTACATCCCCTACTCCCCCCGCCACCCGTTCCTACACGCAAGTGTATCAGGGCCTTGGAATTGTGTCTCCAAGGATTGATATCCAAGCATATTGGTAATTTTGCATTAAGATAGCATGCAGCCTTTCTGTGTCTAGATATGTCTCTCAAAGGATAGTATCTGCCCTGGTTCAGAGACCTTCTTATTAACTTGAATCGTATGGAAAATATATATAATTTAACATTTTAGAGATGAGAGTATTCAATTAGGTTTTGCTGTAAATATGTTATGTTTTAGCCGGGCTCAGTGGCTCAGCCTGTAATCTCGCACCTTGGGAGGCTGAGGTGAGTGGATTGCCTGAGCCCGTGGGTTCGCGACCCACCTGGGCAACTTGGCGAGACCTCATCTCTACAATAAATCAAAAAATTAGCCGGGCATGGTAGCGTGCGCCTGTAATTCCGGCTACTAGGAAGGCTGAGGTGGAAGGATCGCCAGAGCCCAGCAGGTCGAGGCTGTGGTGGCCGGGAGCGGCCACTGCACTCCAGTCTGGGCGACAGAGTGAAACTCCAACTCAAAAAAAAAAAGTTAGGTTTTTATATTGAAGAAGTATATATAGGTTCAATTTTTACATGCCTATGAGGGACTTGATACATTTAAGTAATAGAGACATTTAAATAAATAGCAACACATGTAAATGGCACACTGGACCTAGTGATTCAAAGACATTTTTGCAGTGTTTGTAAATAATATTAAATCCCAGAAAGAGCAGTTATTGCTGCTTGTATCCAAGTGTGCATTGGTCAGTTTGCTTTTGTATTGTGATGGTTTTCCTGGTAATATTTCCACTACCTAGCATATTTTGATCACTTATTAAACTCATAAATAAGGATAGATGACATAGACATTGCTAACTTTAAAAGCATTGCTGAATTTTGAAATCACTCATTCATCTTCGGAAAAGAGGGACTCTGTGTGCCATCTAGTGGACATCTCCAGAATTCTGATCATGAGAAACTAACCGATGCTCTCCTCTTCCTCCAAGCTGCAGGTGTCTTGACCGTGTGTCTCTGAGCCCTTTGGCATAGTTCATGCTTGGGTAACGTCTCGTGGTGTTTCTCAGTGCTGTGCTACTTTTATCTCATTACATTTTGGAAAGTTATGTTTGAGAGCTACATTTTGAAGTCATCAAAATAAGTCTAATGACAGAAATAAGTTTATGTGAACTGTGAGACAGGTAAATGTAAAATATGTTTTTAAAATTCTAATGTTTAATCAGTGCTAAGGGAGAACTTAATAAAAGAAAACCCAGGCACAATAATTATTAAACTTTGTTATTGTATACGTTCTTTCCTGAAGGAATGTGAAAATAATTATTTCTGTCCTTTTATATGTTAATGTATAGTTTAAATAGATAGATGCATTTTGATTTTTTTTTTTCTTTAGAGAAACCCAAGACCAGTGACTTACCAGTTCCATCCAAATTTAGATTATTACAAAGCACGAGGAGCAGATCTCATGAATAAAAGCCGGTAAGTCCTCTTTCTTTGATGATCGTTGTAGATCTCAAAGGTGATCTCACAGGTCATAAGGAAATTTTGCACATTGATGAAAATGATTTTCCACATTTTAGCATATCAGTGACTAATGTACATAATGAAACTTTGTTAAGCCAATTACGCAAGTAGTTTTTAAAGGCATAAGAAAATGGTCTACACTGATGTTCGTGTAAGAGGAAACATTAAATAAGTATAGGAGTTTTTGTGATAGTTTGAAGATAGGCATCTTTATTTTTCTAACACTAATAAACCTGAACAAATTGTGCCTACTTGTATAATCTCTTTCTAGATTTTTGCTTTTGATTGAAAAGAAGCAGTTCTATAACATATTTTTAAATTATTTCTGTAACAAAATTAAAATTGTGTTTCCCAACTGTCTTTAGAACTACACAATAAGCTCATAAATGCATCTTGTGTGTGCATTTGTGATTGCATACATAGAAATTTTAAGGGTCACTGTAGGAATAAAAAAACATTAAAATTCTACTTTTTAAAGAAATTAACATTGGCATAAAGGGTTGATGAACAGTTTTGTTCTTTCATAATAGTATATTCAGATGTCTCAAGAGTTAACTTGTCAAATCAGAACCACTTCAAATTAGAATGTAATTTCAAAGTTTCCTCTGGAAGACTAAAATGTTAGTAATGATAAATACTGCCAAGTTGTCCGAACTTTCTTCCTCAAGCATTTTGCTGTGTGTTAGCTTTTCTTCAGTAGAATTCCAACAGCCTAAATATACATTTACAGAGTACATATACACAATGTGTTCTACTGTTACTGGAGAGTTAAAAATAAGTTATAATTTCTGCCACAAAGGAACTCGTCATCTAAGGGGTGAGAAGTTTACCACAAAGTGCTAAATTTAAACTTGAAATTTGAACCCTGTCTTTATGTAATGCTATTATAAAATTAACCATCTTTGATTGAAATCTGTTTGTCCCATGTAATGATGTACTGTGTAATTATGAGACCAGTTCTGTAGCCCATGAGACTTCTCTGAAGCTCTTTTCTGTTTGTTCATTTCATCTGAGTCTTGTTACACAAATAAAAAGCTATTCCCTATAGTCACTTGCTCATTTAATTCAACAGACTTTTATTGAGTGCCAGTCTCTGATTATTTTAGGCATGGGAGATGCCCAGTGAACAAAACAGACCCAAATCCCTGCCTTTAGTACTCTTACAGTCTAGTCACTTCCTCCCCCTCAGGTCAAGTTTTTAGTTTCGGTACGTTTCAAAGAACAAGGTGTACTAGGTGCTTTGTTTATGCAGGATCTTTCTAGCCAGAGCCCCTTCTTTTTCCACCCCCCCCCACCAGATTGCTTTTCACACAACAGCAGAATAAATCTCATCGTGTAATAAATGATGTCATGCCTCTGCTTAAACAGCTCCAAGGCCTCCGGTTGCCATTGGAAGTGCAGTCTTCTTCCTGGGGCCCTTCCCCATCTCTTTGACCTTATCTCCTTCCTCAGCCTGTGGAAGAAACAAGAGCCCTCTCTGTCTCTTGCTCGTGCTGGGGCCTCTGGACTTGGCTCTTCGCTGCTGCGAGAGGACCTTTCCCACTCCCGCATCTTCCCAGGCCTCCTCTTGGCTTAGGGCTCAGCCCAAACGTCACTTCAGGGAGGCTCCTCTTCATACCCTTCACCTCCCTGCCATCTCCTCGCCTGCTCACTCAGGCCTGGCACCACTCACCGAACTAACCAAATTCATTGTGTAGTCACCATGTCGCCTAGCTTTTCTGCTGAAAACTCTGAGGACAGGTATAGCCTGTTCTGCACTCCATGCCCTCCACACAGTGGCTGAAATAGGGAAGGCACTCGACACGTATTTGTTGTATGTCTTTTAAAAATATTTTCAACAAATTATTTTTCTCAAAGGAAAATTTCTGCCCTTTTTTTTTCTTCATGTTTTGATGGGGATTTTTTCCCTTTAACCTTTTCTCCTTGCATTTTTCTTATGCAAAATGTTGATTCTGTTTTACGTATTTTCTTGTAAGGATGTTGAGAGTCTTGCACAAAGTATCATTTGATGATGGAAAGATTTTTTATTGTCTGCTTTGCAATTTAAAAGCTAAATTGAGCTTCATGAAACATAGTATTTGAAGTAGAAGACATCACAAACCAGTGAGCAAGGAGGGAGTCCATAGGGAGTGCTGGGAAATGGGCACGTCTCTGAATAGGTTTCAGCTTAGAGCCTTACCACGCACCAAAGTAAGTTCCAAAGCACACTCGCACAAGCAAACAGAAGTAAAATACAGGTACCTGTCTGACCAATATTTAAGTGAATACTTTTGCATCTTTCATTTTTTCAAATTTTTAATCGGCAGATAATTGGGTGAAGACGTTTTAAACTTGAAAGTAATGGAAGAAGTCACACAGGAAACCCCTGGTGGATTTTCCTGTGCAATAATATTTTTAAAAAGATATGTCAAAAATAAACAGGCTCAAAAGGCAAATAGAAAATTAGGAAAATATTATTTGATGGGGATGTACCTGACAAAGTACGATGTCATTACGAACTTGTGCAGTTCAATAAGAAGCGCAGGATCCTGGCTCAGTGGCCGTTCCACCCCACACCTCATTCTCCACTTCTCCTTCTCTTCCTCGAAACGTCAAAGCTCCTCCACCCCAGGCTTCTTTTCTTCTCTGTACTCATTTCCTAGAGGAGTTCAGCTCAGGTCATGGCTTTACATATCATCTGTGACTGAAAGGTCTTTAATTCATGTCTTCAGTTTTACCCCTTGCCTTGAACTTCAAACTCTTGGAGCCCACTGCCTACCAAATCTTTTCTCTTGGATGTTCCAATTGCATCTCAAATTTAATACTTTGCAGGCTGAACTCCTGAGTGTCCCTCCACACTTAGAAACTGGTTAGTCCCCTAGTGTTTCTCACAGCAAACTGAACCGGTTTCTCCTAGACTCTGGCATTTTTCCTTTCCTGATTTTAATCAGTATCCTTTCACTGTAGTATCCTGAGTATAACAGCTTCTCAGAGTTCCATGATCCAATCTAATCCAATGATGCTGTCATCCAATCTAATTGGTGGTCTTGGGGACCTCCTACAGCAGAGACTAGGGATAGGCAAAGGTTTCCTATAAAGGAAGCAAAAGCTCTAGAAAAGATGGATAAAGCAAACTTCATCAAAATTAAATTTTTCTTCTCATCAAGACACCTTTAAGGAAACAAAGGAGCGAGCCACACATCGGGGAGTGATACTTATAACATGTATCTCTGATGAAGACTCCTGTCCAGAGTCACGTAGTTCCCAAATCAGTGTATGTGACTTGTTGGTGCAAGTCAAGAAAAAGGCAAAATAGGCAAAAGACTTGAACAGACACTTCGCAAGAGAAGATATAAAAATTATCAATGTGCTGTGGAAAGATGCTCAGCATCATTAATCATCGGGAAAATGCAAATTAAACCACAGTGAGATAACATTTCACACCAACTATACTGGATAAGTCACAAAGACTGATAGTAGCAAATATTGGCAAGGATGGGAAGCTCTTCCTGATGTGAGTGGAAAAGGGTTTAATCACTATGCAACAATTTGGTGATTTCTTAAAAACCTAAGCTTACATCTGCCCTTTGACGTAGCAGTTTAGCTTCTAATTGCTTCTCCAAGAGAACTAAAAACTGATATCCACAAACAGCAACAACAACAACAAACGTCAAAACAATGTCCTTAGCACCCTAAGTCTGGAAATAAGCCAGTGTCCGTCACCAGGAGACCAGATTAGCAAGTTGTGGTGTCTTTAAACAATGGAATCTATTCAACGGTCTAAAGGGGTGAACCAGAGTTGTCCCCCAGTGTACTCGGGGGTGGCTTCAGGACTGCCCACATAGTCCCCAAATCAGTGTGTGTGAAGAGTTGGTCTTCCACACAGGTGAGGTTCACATTCCCCATCTGCGTTTTGTTGGGAAAAAACCCATGTAAGTGGATTGTCAAAGTTCACACCCATGTTGTTCAAGGGTCACCCGTACTAGTATGTACGTGAATGAATTTCAGAAGCATATGCCGGGCAACAATGCCAGGTACACTAGGGTGCATGCTGTGTGGGTCCACGCAGGGAAGCTTGGGCACAGGCAGCTGGCATGGTGGTAGACACCAGGAAGCAGCAGGAGGGCTGCAGCTGACAGCAAAGAGTTGGGAGGGAATTCCCTTTTTGGGGTTGGAGTCCCACTTCCGGCCACCGCAGCCTCCTCCTGCTGGGCTCAGGTGACCCTTCTGCCTCAACCTTCCAAGTAGCTGGAACTACAGGTGTGTGCCACCATGCCCAGCTAACTTTTTAAAAAATTTATTGTAGAGACAAAGAATTCTAGGGTAGCAGAAATGTCCATTTCAGATGTGCGTACACAGGTATACATGACTGTCAAAACTCATCAGACTGAATACTTGAGATCAGTGTTTCATATGTAAATTATACCTAAATTTTGTTTAAAAAAGGGAAAAGATCTATTTACCTTGGACCAGATAGGAGATAGTGTTCCCATTTTACCTAAGTTGGTTAAGAATTAACAGTTCTCTTTGCTACAACAGAAAGACCACTTCAGATATAGATGAGTTTTTAACAAATACTGAGTAACTGAATGCAAAAAATATCACAAAGTGTATTAATATAATCATCAGTGTCCTTTGAAATTAAATGCTAACGCTGATAACCATGGAGTCCTTGGGTTCATGGCTTGGGGACCATTATTAACATTTTTTAAATCATAATTTAGTAATAAAATATCTGGGAAAAAATGCAGTCATTATGTAAGCAAATACGATACAGCCAAATGTTAAAAATATTACTGACCATATAAAATGGAAATTATTTGGGAGAATCTTGTAATGCCTTACAGGTTTCAAAACAGTATTTATTTATTCAATCTTTAAACTAACTCTTTACTGAATACTATAACCAGTGTGAGGTACTGTGCTAAGCCCTGGGAGTATGAAGACGCTAAGACCCAGACCCTGACATCAAAGAT